TGTATGCTGTCTAGATTTGCCATAGCTTTCCTCCCCAGGAGCAAGCATCTTTTAATTTCTTGGCTGCAGTCCCCATCTGTGGTGATCTTGGAGCCCTGGAAAATAAAATCTGTCACTACCTCCATTTCTTCCCCATCTATCTGCCAGGAAGTGAGAGGACCGGATCCCATGATCTTAGTTTTCTTAATGTAGAGTTTCAAGCCAACTTTTGCACTCTCCCCTTTCACCCGCATCAAGAGGCTCTTTAGTTCCTCTTCACTTTCTGCCAGTAGAGTGGTATCATCTGCATATCTGAGGTTGTTGATATTTCTCCCAGCAATCTTAATTCCAACTGGTGATTCATCTAGCCCCGCCTTTCTCATGATGTGCTCTGCATATAAGTTAAATAGGCAGGGCGACAGTATGTAGCCTTGCCGAACTTCTTTCTCAATTTTGAACCAATCAGTGGTTCTGTGCCCAGTTCTCACTGTTGCTTCTTGACCTGCATATAGGTTTCTCAAGAGACAAATAAGATGGTCAGGTACTCCCATCTCTTTAAGAACTTGCCACAATTTCTTGTGATCCATACAATCAAAGGCTTTAGTGTAGTCAATGAAGCAGAAGTAGATGTTTTTCTGCAACTCTCAAGCTTCCTCCATGATCCAGTGTATATTGGCAATTTGATCTCTAGTTCTCTCCCTCTTCAAAATCCTGTCTGTATTTCTGGTAGTTCTCGGTCCACATACTGCTGGAGCCTAGCTTGTAGCATTTTGAGCATCACTTTGCTAGCATGTGAAATGAGTGAAATGGTGCAGTAGTTTGAACATTCCCTGGCATTGCCTTTTGGGATCGGAATGTAAACTGACCTTTTCCGATCCTGTGGCCACTGTTGAGTTTTCCAAATTTGCTGGCATATTGAGTGTAGCACTTTTACCGCATCATATTTTAAGATTTTGAATAGCTCAGCTGGAATACTGTCTCCTGCACTAGCTTTGTTGTTGCCCATACTTCCTAAGGCCCATTTGACTTCACATTCCAGGATGTGTGGCTCGAGGTCAGTGACCACCCCATCGTGGTTAAGCTCTTTCTTTTATAGTTCTTCTGTGTAATCTTGCCATCTCTTCTTAATCTCTTCTGCCTCTGTTAGGTCCCTGCCATTTTGGTCCTTTATCATGCCCATCTTTGCATGAAACGTTCCCTTCATATCTCCAATTTTCTTGAAGAGATCTCTGGTCCTCCATATTCTATTGTTTTCTTCTATTTCTTTGCACTGTTCATTTAAGAAGGCATTCTTATCTCTTCTAGCTATTCTCTGGAATTCTGCATTCAGTTGGGTGTATCTTTTTCTTTCTCCCTTGCCTTTTGCTTCCATTCTTTCCTCAGCTATTTGTAAAGCTTCCTCAGACAACCATTTTGCTTTCTTGCATTTCTTTTTCTTTGGGATGCTTTTAGTTGCTACCTCTTGTACAATGTTGCGAACCTCCGTCCATAGTTAGTCAGACACTCTGTCTATCAGATCTAATTCCTTAAATCTATTTGTCACCTCTACTGTATAGTCATCAGGGATATGATCTGGGTCATACCTGAGTGGCGTAGTGCATTTCCCTACTTTCTTCAATTTAAGCCTAAATTTTGCAACATCAGAACAATTAATCAAATACAAAAGATGCACTATAAATACAAATACAAAAAACAGTGTAAAATCTCCAATCACAATAGTCATTTTTGTGCAATGCACATTAAATGTGTGGTATCTCCAGGTGATCTTGACAAATAAATAAATGAAGGTATGAACCCTACAATAAATTTCAAGTTACCCTGAATGATACACATACACATTTAAGAGATTACCAGATGATATTGAATTGCACATAGAAACATAGAAACTTGAACGAGTCAGAAGGGGCCTCCTGGGCCATCTAGTCTGACCTCCAGCTTCACCTGGCTCCGCTCATGACATGCCTATCATGTGCATGTCTAGCCTATCCTTGAACACCTTCACCGATGGGGCCTCAACCACCTCCTGTTGAAGCCTATTCCATACCCTCGGGGTCCTAACTGTCAGGAAGTACTTCCTGGCATTCAAATTGAACCTTGGTTCCCTGAGCTTGGCTCCATTGGAGCATGCCCTGCCCTTCTCTGCAGGGGAAAACAGTTTTCTACCTACCGCTTTGTGATACCCCCTTACATACCTGTATGTCACCAACAGATCCCCTCAGAATCTCCTCTTCTCCAGGCTGAAAAGACCCAGTTCCCTCAGTCTCGCCTCATACGGCTTTCCCTGCAATCTGGCCACCAACCTTGTGGCACTACACTGCACTGACTCTAACCTGACTATATCTTTCCTGAAATGTGGGGCCCAGACCTGCACACAATACTCCAGTTGTGGTGCACCCGAGTCATACAGAGTGGTAGTAATACCTCTCTCGATCTAGAAGCCACACTTCTGGCTATGCAACCAAGGGTGGCATTTGCCCTCTTGACCACCAGGTCACACTGCTGATTCATGTTTACTCTGCAGTCGACCAGTACCCTGAGTTCAATCTGCAGACGTTCAGCCACTGAAAAAAGAAGCTACTGTGTCATAAAAGTGGGGGTTGTGATTGCCAGAGAACCCAAAGAATATAATCCACCTTTAGGGGCCTCAGAAATATTGCTGAGAAAGGTTTCCAGTTAAGGATATCCCTAACTTGCCTTAATCCAAGTCTTTTGACACATTTCTCAAGCCCTCTTCTGACCTTTCCTAGCCTGGTGCTTATTTCAGAATGCTTTATCCATTAAACTGAATAAAACCGAGTTTATCACATCCATTATCCAATATGACACATTATCACTTCCTTCCCTCCCTGAACCACTTACTCAGTCCATCCCTGCAAAGCCCTAGACTCCAGCACTGTGTGGCCCCATTTAGACTGGTTTTCATTTAATTAATATAGCTTGTGTTATGTGCGGACAGCATCCCATCTTTCCACTGCTAGCTCAACAGGGAGTTAGGAATTTGAAAAGGAACTGCAGAATCTAGTAAAAATATTTGTTTCCAGTTCTGGAATAGGCCAGTGGAACTCCCTTCCATGTGCTCTGCTGACCTGCTCTGTTCTAGAAAAGAGTCTTTCTGCCATTTCTAGTTACTTTAAAGTGCTAGTTCCTATTGCACTAGTGGAGGGTTCTGCTGGTAGATGAACAGCTTGGGATACTGCCTATTACCCCTGGTTAACATTTATTTCTATGTGATAAAAAGCTTCATGTACTGGTTTCTGTAAATCAATCTGTTATTAAAGGCTGGTGCTAGGCCATTTGTCTTTTCTGATTAGTTTGTACTCCTGTTGACACCTCTCTCATTGGAGTGACAGGGGCAGAAGCCCTTGCTCAGT